AGCACTCAAAAACACATTCTTTTAACATACAATGCTCAACTAGGGTTAGGGTTTCATGGAAGGGGTGTTGGAGGGGTGGAGGCTGAGAATGGAGTGCATTTGGGGGAGTTAAGGAGCTTAAATAAGGCTCAAACCATGAAAATAGGGTTTAGGCACTGATTGCGTACGCCCAAAGTACTCAGGGTGCCTCAGTACGCCCAACGTACTCCCCTCTGTACGCCCAGCATACTGTTCATAACCCAAAACCAACCAAACTTCAAACGGGTATAACTTCTTCGTTCTAACTCCGATTTTGACGTTCTTTATATCCACAGAAAGGTATAGAGAAGATCTACACTTCTATCAACTCCTCCTTGCCTTAAAACTTTCCAAACAAAAATCCAAAATTTATAAAAGCCCGAACTGACACTTTACCGAAATACCCCTTGGTGCCAAAACACAGACCGAACTCCCGGATCATCCAAATTACATTACCCACACCCAAATGGGACTAAATCTATTTTCCTCAAAGGCCCTAAGCCTGATGATACTCTGTCTTCGGGTCACCACCCCCACATAAGAAACGATTTGGAACAGGGCGTTACACTTTTATATGAAAAATACCAACAAACTACATACTTTGTTAAAGTGTCACATTATGGTAACCGATATTTAGTGGTAATAACTAATTAAGAGAAAAAAGGGGAAAATAACTCGGGAGGGTAACTATGTTTCAAAAGCGTTAAAAAAACACCATCCAAGTAAGATGTTTGTATAAAAAACACCAACAAACTATATGTTTTGTTCAAATGTTACTCACTGGTAATCAACTTTTGCAAGTTAAATGATGACTTGGGCTAATTATTGTGACATGACATAATAGTTAGTGATATGAAATTAATTGATATATTCCACCTTTATAAATTGATTTAGGGCTTCTTAATGAACGAATAATTTCTTCTTCTACTAAATCGATGATCTCCAACTCAAGATCACATATTTCAAATACACAAGAGATATTTGATGATACAAACCCTTGTGAAAACAATGGAATAAATGCCCATAAGATATTTGATGACTGAAATTTATGAAAACAATGAGATAAATGTCCATAAGTAGCTCAATGAATGAAATTTGTGAAAACTAGAAGATGCATAATAGTTTGCAATCCATTTCGGTTTAGTCATGACCTATAGCTAGGCAAGATGCAAACAACAAGTAGATTCCAATCGTACGTTCATGAAGAAGCTTTGAATCGATTTTTAAAGGAGAGTTGTATCAACTAAGGTCATGTCACTAATTATTATGCCATGCAACTAATAATTAGGCCAAATCATTCTTTAACCTACAAAAGTTGGTTGCCAATGGGTAACATTTGAACAAAACATATAGTCTGTCGGTGTTTTTTTATATACAAATACCTTATTTTGATGATGTTTTTTGAATGATTTCGAAACATGGTTACCCTACCGAGTCATTTTCTTTTGTTTTTTCCCCTTAGTTAATTTTTACCGATAAATGTCAATTACCATAAAGGTGACATTTGAATAAAGTATGTAGCTTGTTGGTATTTTTTTTGTACAAAAGCTAATTATTTGGATGATGTTTTTTTAACAAATTAAACTTAGATGATGTATTTTGAATAATCTTAAAACATAGTTATTTTTATAAGTAGGGTTAATGTCACTGTAACCCAACCAACTTTTTGGTTTTGGTTTAAATGGTCATCCAACTTAATTTCTTGCTTTCTAAAGGTACAAACTCGATACTGACCTGCTTATTTGGTCATTGTTACCTATTGCATCCGGTTACCCGTTCCACCTAACCATTCTTGCTGACTTGACTGATTACTCAACGATGATGTGGCTACCTAGTTAGACTACATTGGTTATACATAGATATATTTATTAGTTTTTATTAATTTGTTTCCTACATGCATACGTAGAGTTGCAGAAGAAGAATCAAGTTGATTTCCTACCACTATCAATTTTACATACCAAAACTGTCAATTTCCTACCACATTCAGATTTTAGGCATACCTTCAAGAATGCATTCTTAGTGACAAAAAAAATCAAACCAAATTTATATTCCATCTCCATCATCTTCACCATTACCACCACCATCGATTCCACCAGTGAAAACAAAACCCATTTCCTAGTGAAAATAAAATCAAATTGCGGGAATTTATTTCACCACAAGCGATTTCCCAAAAAAACATAATTGAATCCAACCAAAAAAAAACCTACAATTATAATGCTTGAAGATGGTAGATAAAAAATTCAAACCCACCAAAATTTGTTGCAGATCTATTGGTAACAGATGACATAAAAAATCAAACTGATAAAAACATCTAACCCCAAATTTTTTTTTGATCCATGGAATAGTCCCAACATATGGAGAGAGAGAGAGAGAGAGAGAGAGAGAGAGAGAAGAATTAGTGATGGAATCGACTGGTGGTATTGTCGTAGCAGATGTAATCAACAATGAGTTAAAGATGATCTCAATGTGACCTAAATTAAATGCAACAAAAAACTAATGCAAAGGTGAATCGGTAGACAAGGTAGTTCTTAGAACTGGATGGTGACGACAGTGGTAGAAGATTGATGGTGGTAGCGGAGGTGAGAGATGGATAAAGAAGGCGGTGGTTGTGGATGGTTTAATGTTGGCAATAATCATAAGAATGAAGCCAAAGGTGCCTTGTGCGGTGTCCTACCTGTTGCATAAGGTTTTAAATGAGAAGAGAAAAGGGGAAGAAGGAGAAGTCATATGATATGGGGTAACCGGAGACAATCTCCAAAGGGGTCTTTTAAACCCGACAAACTTCACCTTATACTCATAAAAAACAAGAAACTAACTTTAGGGACCATTTAAACCAAAACTAAAAAGTTGGTTGGACAATAGTGACATTAACCTTAATTTTCATATTTTTTTTAAAGTTGAAAGTTCAAGTCTCTGTAATATAAAGAGAAATTAAATAGCCTCCTATTTTTTTTCCTACATATATTTCTACCTATTTGAAATGATGATAAATGTATTAAAATATCATTAATCTTATCTAAATATGATACATGTCGTCATTTCACATGGGTAGGATGATAAGTAGGAAGAAAAGGTAAGAAGATATTTAATTTCTCTAATACTCCCTCCGTCCCAAAATTATTATCCACCTTACTAGTTTAGTTAAAGAAAGGTAAGAGGATAAATGAACCAGGAATTAACCGGAAGAGTATTAAATTTACATGTTAAAAAAAACGAAAGAAGAACAACAGTGTCTTTTTCAACGTAGCGTCTTTTGGCCTCCACGCAGCTTAAAACACGCAGAAGAGCTAAACATTAAAACATTGTCATAATGTCATTCCTTCTGACACGTGCTTTTGAAAAGTAACACATTGCTGCCTTCTACTTCTCATTCTACTTCTCATTCAAGTTCAAATATGCACAATAAGGTTCGCTCTAACTCCCAAAACTTTCATTTCATAGCACATTTGATCCTCTTCGAAATTTATCTATGCCTACTACTACATTTTAGTTTATTTATTACGTAGGCTATGACAATCAGGTGTGTACAGATCCATGCCTGAATGTAAGAAACTAAATCATGTCCATATATTGGGATATCTTGACAGTAATGTAAGAAAATAGGGTGTCAAGTCTAAAAAGAAGCACAAAAAATGTCCGTAGACGGGGTTTTAGTAAATAAACATAATTTGTTAGAAGTTTAGTACTCGTATAAGACGAGTTGTGTCACATGTATCCTCCAATGCACAAGGACAAATTGTATCATTTGTGCATAAACATTGATTTATAAAACAAATTACAAATTTGGTCCCTTTACATAAAATTACAAGTTCAGCCAAAAAATTTAAATTGTCATAGTCTTGTTCTTAGATTTTTATTTCGTTGCGGATATAATCCATGTATTTTACTTAAAATTACAAGTGTAATTCAAACTTTGATATCATTTTATATGAGACAAGAATCATATCCGTAACAAAATGAATGCAAGGACAATGTTAAGATGATCTACAAATTTGGACCAAAATTATGATTTCTGACAATATATAAAGACCAAATTTGTTATTTAATCTAATTTATATGCAACTACATCATCCAAGTTATAACTTATCCATTCTTACTAATGAGCCAGGTTCTTTTGAGAATCAAAAAATTTATAAGAACTTACGAACTCATAATCATCTCATCATTTTTCAAAACCATAAACATCAATCTTCTCCAAATGTTGCGTCTAAAACATATCTAGGCTCAAAAAAAATTGACGATTTTTTTTTAGGTTTTTTTGTATGACTGCTGATGAGCACAATCAACAGCCATATGGACTGCTAATTGCAGCAGTCATATGGACTGCTAATTGCAGCAGTCATATGGACTGCTGATTGCAGCAGTCCATATGGCTGTTGATTGTGCTCATCAGCAGTCCATATGACTGCTGATTGTGCATACATACAAATTTCGAAAAAAAAAATTGTCAAATCTTTTTTTGAAGCCTAAATACGACTCATCATTCGGAGAAGATTGATGTTTTTGGTTTTGTAAAATGATGAATTGATTATAAGTTCGCAAGTTCCCACGTTTTTTTAGTTCTCATAATAACTCATCCCTCTTACAAATATCACAACCTTACTAAAATTAACAACATTAAAAAATATCACCAATATTATATATATATATATATATATATATATATATATATATATATATATATATATATAGAGAGAGAGA